GCTATACAGGGCGGGCATTGATTACACTGCTGTGTGTACATGTGGAGTGTACGCGGGGTGCGTACATGGCATGAATTATACATTGATTGATTCAAACCCTTTGTGTACAGGGTAGTTTCTTCCATGGGCCAGGTGAAGTAGAGTACACCTGTTTATGTAGCCTCGGCTTAAGAAGGGGGTAATGTTGCCAGCATTGACTTTTCCTTTTGAATTAACGCTGGCAGACTCGACCCCCCCCCCCCCCCCCCCCCGATCCGAGCTCTATAGGGCATTTAGGGTTAGCAGTCATGCACTCTACCATCCTACCACGCCGTATCATTTTTGTTTGGAAATGTCGGGGGCGCAATTTACCAATCATTATTCTTTTTAACAGATTTTATTTGGGTGTAAAACAATTGATATAGAAAATAAATGAACAGACTATGTTCTTAACTTGGACTGTGTATAATTCAGTAATTCAGCTCAGAATGAGCCTTTAATGGGTTTTTTCTTACCCCGTTTGGCGCCCCTATCCCAAACTTCAGCACCAGGGGCAGAGGCGTGGGGGGGGGGGGGTACATATGTCCCCGGGCGCCGACCATAGGGGGCGCAAAAATTGGCTGGAAAAAAATTAATAGCTCATTTTAGCTGCAGTTTTGCATTATAAATATAAAAAATATATGGGGGGGGGCGCCAAATTGAAAGTTTGTCCCCGGGCGCCGGGAAGGGTCGCCACGCCTCTGACCAGGGGGGTCGTCTCACATCCCCCCCCCCCCCCCGCCCCACCCTCTACTAGCTACGCTTCAGTCGAAGTTCAGACAATGTGAACTGTAAAAAACATACTATCTACATAAAAAGTTCTTGATTCCCCACGACAACAGAAAAAAACATGTACTTATAACCACTCTACCAGATGACAGCTGTTCCAAAGCTACAGGAAGTGCTGACAAAGTTTGTTTCTGATTACATTCAAGAGAAGCGCTAGCGACCATATGCAACACACAATGGCGTAGGCAAGGGGGGGGGGGTCAGGGGGAGGATAACCCCTCACATGGACTCACACCCCTATATATATATATATATATATATATATATATAATATGACTTTATACATAATATGGAAAAATATTTGAACCCCTCCCATGACCAATTCCTGGCTACGCCACTGGCAACACATAACAGATGCCACCTCCTCCCCGTCCTTAAATATACATGTAAAAAGTGGCTTATGTCTTGTATATCCCACTAATGCAGACAAGCAAATTAAGTCGCAGGGGTTGTGGCTTAATTGTCTGCTGGGTAGGGGAGGGGTTGGGACGTGATCGGTCGCATTGTGAACTGATTTTATTCATATAACAACAGCGATTCCCCCCCCCCCCCCCCCGCCCCCAGTGAGTTGATTAGATTATGCGCACACAATAAATGTTTAAATAACGGTGATTTATATATATTTACATTTCTATAACGTAAGGTATGAAGATGGTCGGGTAGACTAAACAATGCAATGTTAGATAATGGCGCAGGTAGGATTTTGAGAAGAGGGTGGGGTAGGGTTTTTCCGGTTTCACTTGAAGGGGGGGGGGGGGGCAATAGAAACTTGGGGGGGGGGGGTGTGGAGGCCAGACTCTGGTTAAAGTATATATGTTCAATAAATTATAAATATGTTTAAAAAATTATTATGGGGGGGAGGGGGGGGGAGGAATGAAGAGATAAATGAAACAGCAACGAGGTAGGGGGGGGGGGGGGGCTTACACTGTTTGCATGTGTATTCTATAATGATTCTGGGAATTTATGGCATTCGCAACTGTAAAACCGAAGCATGGAAAACTTTAACCCTAATCATGACCCCAACCCCAGAAAAATATGTTTATGGCGTGCGTTTAAATATTCAAATGTCTAAACATCAGAGATGGGTCACGGTCACATCACAGGTGGCGGGGCTTAACTTTTCGTCCGGCACTTTTTGCATGTGGCGAGGTTTATCTCGACAAAATCCCAATATTATAAGCCTTCGCCGATTTATATTATGGTATGTAGCCTAGATTTGTCTCTGTAGATATCATTGTTTTGTTAAGGGCTAGTTCTGAGTTATCGCCTGATTTAGAATCGCAATATCAACATTAAAAGCGTATATAAAAAAGAGAATAACTTTTTTACAGCTCCGCCATTGATCATAGAAGTATAGACAGTTCTAAAAATAAACCTGTGAGATTTGGTGTGGGTGTAACTAGGTAAGAAAAAATATATAAACATTCGCAGAGTTAAGGGACTTTAGTCCAGTTTCACTTGATACAGTTAAATGTTTGCACGTGAAGCTTTGCGATTTATCAGTTACGTAGAGATCGTATTCGTTTTATTTGTCGAGTCACGCTAGCTAGTTGCACGTGCATTCTGAAGCCTTGAGATTGCTATAAATAAATGCCATTAACATTTAATGAAAGCGCAATCGATTTTTCTTGTCCGGCAAGGGAAGCAACTATTGTCATTTAAACGATTTTCGCGAGTAAGTAATCAAAAAGGCCGCCAAGTCTTACTTTCATTCTCTATGTCAATATTCAAATATCTTCATAGTAAGGAAAAAGTAATTTAAAAAGTGTTTAACCTACTCGGTGTAATGTAGGCAACCCCCTTACACAACCCAAAAAAGAAACACCATTTCTGCTACTGTTTGTACAAAAAATTCGGTCTACTTCCGGGTTAAAATCAACATGGGTTCTCAGAACTCAAAAGGTTTCAACAGAGCGTAGCAATTATTCACCAATGTGAAAAGTATTGAGTTACTGTGTGCTCCTGGTAGCTGGTGAAGGGCGAATTAAAACGTAATGTCAGGGTGTCATCTTAGAAATGCTATTCACGTCGAGAGGGGCGTATAAAGGTAATAATAAAATACTTAAAATAAACTTTTTAAAAAACCACGTTTTTCTTGTGGACTAAAAAGTAGAACATAAATTTTCATACATTTGATGACAAAAAACGTGGGTACGTTCACCATCGAATTTCCCGACCCATCTACCCGACCCACGTTTTTTGTCATCAAATGTATGAAAATTTATTCACAAGAAAAACGTGGTTTTTTAAAAAGTTTTTTTTAAGTATTTTATTTTCTCCTTTTTAGTCCGTTGCTACACATGAAAAACGTGGTTTTTAAAAAAGTTTTTTATATAGTTTATTTTCTACTTTATCTAATGACTTGATTAAGTATGACTTGACTAAGTGTTTATAAATACACGGACTAAAAATCTTGAGCGACCAGGATTCGAACCTGGGTTGTCGCGGCCACAACGCGAAGTACTAACCGCTATACGATCACGGCCAGCGCGCTCACATCGATTGGGGCCGAAGTAACTGTGTCAATAGGCCTCCAGTCTTGTCGGTATCTTTAGAAATCATGTCCTCAATTTTATGGTCCTTGGGACGTAATTAAATTAAGCTAACTACGGTCTCTAATTGCTAGTTTTTATGATTGCATCTGAAATTGTTAGGCGAAAGTAGCCTACATGCCAAATTTCAGATCTCTAGAGCAATCAGAAGTGGGCTAATTTTCGATGTCAATTTTAACAACAAACCTCCAAACAAAGAAACAAACGCGAAGCTGAGTTAAGAAAAACGTGTTAAAAACGTGTTAAAAAATAAGAAATGACGAACTGTTCTTTTCACCGAGACTGCTCATAAATGGCCCAATATGGTGCCGTGTTAACCAGAGGTTCTGTCAGGCAGGTTTTTCGCCCCCTCAATTTCTCGGAGCACGTCTATACCCCCCCCCCTCTTTCCCAACCCGCCGAACGAAATGAAAAAAAAATACTTTTTATAGAAAGTATATAGTTTACTTTAGCCAGCGTCCGCCTCACTCCGGAAATGTCAAGTGCCCCCCCCCCCTACACCCACACACACCCAGACAAAAATACATGAAAGAAACCCTGGTGTCTGCATTTTTTTGTTAAAAAATTAGTGCAACTATAGTTTTTAGACTAGACTTATATAAATTAAGGGAATTGAAATGTTGGTATGGTATTTATCTTCTTCGTTCTTAAATGTAACACCGAGGGGCATCTAAATAGCCCAGCATCAATTAATCTGCAACACACACACACACCAATGCAATTTTTCTCTGAGTTCGGTTTTCTGGGCCCTGTCTAGCATATTTATTGATCTAGCTAAAGATACTGTGTTGATTTTTTCCTACTATCACCTCGTCTAGTTAAATACGTATGCCTATAATAATTATGAGGCTTTGGCCTAGTCTACTTAACGTTTGAAAAGCTTTCATATTTTAATATAGGTTACTGTTTAAATGAATCCAACAAACTTTTTTTTTCAAAAACGTAGGGATCTTGTCCAGATAAGCCTCGCCAAAAATTTAACCTCCGCCACCCAAAAATATTATAAAAAGATTATATGAAACTTTTATTGAAGAGGGTGAAATTGGGACGTGCCATCAGCGTTTCTTCCAGACTTTTTTCTCCGGGGGGGGGGGGGGGGGGGCACTTGATATTTTCGGGGGGGGGGGGGTCGGTCTACATTTTACTACATTTTTCGCCCCCCCCCCCCCCCCCCCCCAAGAGATGCCTGGAAGAAACTCTGCATGCCATTCATAATTTCCATGTAAAGGTCTGTATTTCGGTATCTTTAAGTTTACCTTTAACCCTCAAGACTTCGTGCGTAGGCAAATTGGAGCTGGCAAAATGTGGCGGGGTTTAACTTTTCGCGAGTGCACTTTTGCATTAGTGGCGTAGTAATGACAAAGTAGTAATGACAAAGTAGTAATGACAAAGCTGGAAAAGATATGCTTTCTTATTTCTTAGTATCGACAATTTCAAAAAAAAAAAAAAAACGATTACAGCGATAGAAAAAAAATTGACAATCCGGAAAACTGCACCGTCATTGTGACTAGGCGTGTCTACACCAACGTCACTAGGAAACGGCGAGTCGAATCGCCGCATACCGGTAGGCCTATTGCTATTTCCCCCCGTTTCGCATCGACTATTTTATAATGGACTAATCCATAAAGTGGGCGTGGCCAAAACTGAGCTGCACTCGCTGCTATCAGGTGTGAACTGGTTCAACGCCGGGTAACCAAACCTCATAGTGATTTTCTTCTTTTTTTTCAGGTATAAATAAGAAATTCTCTTTCCCGGTTCGCCATTGTCATCTAACACTTTAGAGTTGTATGTATCGAAAATTTTCCGAACAAGAAATGGCTTCAAAGAAACTGAAAGTAGTTTTATTCCTCGGCTCAACAAGGGAAGGACGTATGGGATTGAGGGTTGCAAAATTTATTCAGGGACAACTGGAATCTAAAAATTTCCAAGTGGAATTGTTTGGTAAGTATGTCTAGTAAATCTAAGCAGTAAGTAGGTCGATTGATAAAATCTTAAGTTTTGTTACACAAACTGCACCATGGTGTAAGGTCACCAAGGGAAGTAACTAGGTAAAAGAATCTTCCTCGTTCTCACACCCCATTCAAATGTGTATTCTAAAATTAAATACAATTGTTTAATTTAAAAAAAAACCCACAGATTATTCCGGTTTTATAAGATATAAACCAATTCTATTTATAAATATGTGAGTCTATTTAATTTAGGTAGGACTACATAAAATAAATATTAAATATTATAAATAGGCCTAATAAATATGTTGGCAATTATTGAGCGAGATAAGATAGACATAGATCTAGTCTTTTGCATTGAGTAGGTTGAATCTTAATCATTCAATCAATGATTCAATGTGTCTGGAAATTGGGAATACAATCAATCAATTATATGCCTTTGCAAAGATAGTCTATTAAGAATTAAGTAGTAGATCATTATAAAGAGAGTCTATTAAGTACTAAGTAGTTGACTGCATATTATAATATAGTTTTATCTTATTCTTCAACCTTGGTATAATTGTGCTTAAAAATGAAATGTGGAACAACCAGTGTAAATAGTGTATTATGTGTTAGATTGCATTTAAGTTCAGGCCTTCATCTGATTTATGTCCAACTTATGGCCAAGATATCTTAAAAAAAAAATTGACTCTGATAAAAAGGATAGATTTTGGTCTACTAGCCCGTTACAGTTTATAGTTTATAGTTAAGTTAATAGTATTAATACTATTATGCTCGCATGTTTGATACTAAAAACATTTTGATTCTTTCATTATTTTTTTCATATTATTGTCAGACAATATCAATGGATTTTTATTAAAAGGGGTGTTTCATCAATAGTATGCCTAGTTGACTACTATGTCAATGACTACACTCTCTATTAAAATGTTATACTTTTTGACCCTTCAAATCAAGTTACTCTTTGAATAAAATTATTGCCACTACACACAATTTTTGTAAATGCACTTAATATTGTGTGTTAAAGTTGTACTTTTTGACCCTTCAAATCCAGCTCTTTTGATTAAAATTATTAACTATTGCCACTACGCATAATTTTTCTAAAAGCACTAAGTATGTGTAAAATATGTATTAATGTTATATTTTTTGACCCTTCAGATCCAGTCACTCTTAAGTTCCCAGTGTTTGAGAAAGCACTTCACCACTACCAGGACAGGTCCAAAATCCCCAAATGGATGGTCGACTGCGAGACAAAAGTGAAGGAGGCGGACGCCTATGTGGTGGTGTCAGCTGAGTACAACCACAGCATCCCCCCCGCCCTCAGCAACATGATGTCCCACTTTGGGCCAGCTTTGTACAGCTACAAGCCCACTGGGATTGTCTCATATTCTATGGGTGAGTTGGATTGAGACAGTGTTTTTATGTTTGTATTTATTTAGTTTAGGAACTTTTCCAAACTAGTATCAGATAGTCTGCGCTTTCAAAAATTGGGGTACTAGTCTAGTAAACTATTTTGATTACTCTCTACCCAAACTCTATTCCTTCCCTTAAACTAGATTATTTAACCAAATAGTAGTAACACCATTTATTAGTAAACTAACTGTCAAAGAATGTTGGAAAATAATGCACCAGTAAAACTTTTTTAATGACTGTAGGCCTACATGGAATGGTTTCAGTTGATGAATAAAGAATACAATTCAATTTATTTACTGCTTGAATGTGAAAAAAATGAAGTTAATCAGTTTTTTTGGGAAGTAAACATAAGTTTAAAGGATAAATAAAATAATTGAAGTGGAAGCAATTGTATAAGAATTAAATTAAAATTATTTCCAATTTAAGTTTGACATCTCTTATGCATTAGTAACATTATAATTGGATGCTAAAATAGTTATCTTGTGATTATCATGAGTCAGGTTTTTATATTAACTACTTCAAATTTAACTGTATAATTACTGTTTCTTAATGTGGAGTGTCATCATTTATTTAACTAACATCAAAACAAACAGGAAGCTTTTGCAATCACATTTATTTTTGAAATGGCAGCATTTTTAAAAAGTTTATATTGGAAAGTATTTTTTCTTTTAACTATTTTGGATACTATGTCATCACTATAAGTGTATTTATCATCCATGAGTTTTGCAGCACAATCTGTGTATGTTTGTAGGTCCATTGTGCATCATTATAAGTTTATCTTGAGTGTTAACATTAACAATGTATGTGTATGTTTGTAGGTCCATTTGGTGGGATGAGAGCCGCCATGCAGCTCAGGTGTTTTCTCAGTGAACTCGGAACCCTGAGTGTCTCAAATATTTTTGGAATCCCAGAAGTCCACAAGGCGCTTGATGAGAGTGGGAAGCCATTAAATGACCACATGGTTAGCGGTGCGGAACGATTAATCTCACAATTGGATTGGATGTCATGGGCTATGAAAAACCACAGAGACAAAAATGGTGTACCAAAATAAGTTTTTACATTTTTTTTTTGCATCAAGTTTTAGTAACAGCTATTAATTTTGCCTTTTTATGTTTTAGTTACTTTAAATAATAAATCTGCAATTTTTGCTTCATCAAATGAGGGGTATGATAATTTCCTATTTCATTTCTGGTGAAACATTTGCATAATAAATTTAGTTTTGTGATAAAATAGTTGTTAAAAGAAATATAGCATAATTATTAATCTCCAATAACTCAAGTACTTATTGGTGTTGTTGTGTTATAATTCAATTATTTGTATAGAAAGTATACTCAAATTCATGTCTCGAAAACAAACACATATTTTTACTTTAGTATTGACATGTACATGTTTAAATATATTAAATTTATGTAGAACAAAAACATTGAATATTTGTTAAATTCTTTTGTTTGTGTAACAAAAATTAATGGTTCGTAATTTAGACTTGTGACACTTTGCTAAATAAATTATCTTTTTTTTCTTAGTTGACTAGTTTATTCACTATCTTTTATGTACATGTTTATAGTGTACAAACAATTATCATGAAATTTGAAAAGAAAAATTGATATAATCATAGGAATACGGATTTAAGCTTGACAAGTTGGTCTCTCTAAATAACTAAAATCAAACAAATCTATAAATCGGAACAACAATTGAGCTAATCTTTCAAAATGAGTGCCGCTGACATTCCCTACAACATTCAATTTGGGAAAAATGACATTTTTAAAAGCTATCAAACAAGTGTTGGAAATCCATTGCGAAACTTTCCCATCCTGTTTATTTAAGACTAGTGCTGTATAAATAACTAACAACGGTGTTTCTTCCAGACTTTTTTCTCCCGGGGGGGGGGGGGGGGGGGGCTTAAAATTTCCGGAGGGGCGGTAGACTTTGTTAGGGGGGGGGGGGGCGGACACTGTTAAATGTATATATTTTCTATATACAAAAGAGTTTCTCCCCCCCCCCCCCCCCCCCGAAGAGATGCCTGGAAGAAACTGACTAACAAGTGTATAGAGTATAGTGTGTATAGGGCCTTTAATGCAGGAAGTCGCCAGTGTAGTTAGAATGTTTGAGTAAACATTGTTTATTTTTAGCCATAGGCGTCATCTTATTTGCCTAGGCCTGTCAATGTTTTAACTAGAACCTAGATTGTAGGCAGGAAAGGATGTAACACAACTGGTTTCTTTTGTGTAGGGGTTATCCTGTTATGAAATATTTACCAACCCAATAAAACGTACCTTTAAAAAAAATTATTTATTTTTCGCATATTTATATACTGTATTTGCTTAAATTGGTTTAAGACGATGGCAGATCAACTTGTAGTAAACATTGAATAATTTGAGCTGTTTCTTCTCAAATATTTGCAGACTGGGGTGGGCTGGGGGTCATGCTCATTTATAGATACACCATACTTTTAAAAACTATTTTTACCCCCCCCCTATCGCCAATACATGCCAGGACGCCCTCTCCAAATGGTGTCAGTATACTACCCCCCTCTCAAAATTGCAAATTTTGTTTAAAGGGTCGTCCATAAATGACATCACACTCGTAGGGGCGATGGGGGGGGGGGAGGGGTCCGTAATTTTGTGTGATGAGAGGGAGGGGGGGTCAGATGGTGCGACGTCACACTTTTACATTATAAAAAAAGCAATGTTAGAAAACTAATTTTAGACGTTATTTTGCGTTTTAGAAAACTGTTTTAATAAATTGTAATAGGAATTGATTAAAATACTCTATTTTGACAGAGTTCAGACAAAATTTTAGAAAAATATCGATGTTTTTAAAAAAAAAATTCAACTGCAATTTTGAGGGGGGGGGGGTTGTAGGCTGATGTGTGACGTCATTTTAGGGGGGAGGGGTCCGGCTTTTTGTGACGACGTGTGACGGAGGGGAGGGGGAGGTAAAACTCGTCCAAAAAAGCGTGACGTCATTTATGGATGACCCCTTATCTAAAACCGCTATTTAAAAAAAAAAAAATTAACTGAGCTCAGTCAACATTTCAGTATATTGACCCTTTTTTATTTACAATTTTCCCAAAAAGAGTTATAATTCGCAAAATAAAAGCTAAAACTTAGTTTGCAACATAACTTTCTAACAATATTTCTTCCAGACTTTCCGGAGGGGGGGGGGGGGGGGGGCTGAAATTTTCGAGGGGGGGGGGGCGGACACTGATAAAAGTATGTTTTCTGTAGATAGATTGGTGCGAGGAAGAAACAATGCTTTCTAAAATGCGAAAGTATTTTGCTACATTTTCTGCTCCCCCCCCCCCTTCAAAGAAGCACGATGCCCTTCCCATAGGAATGTGAAATCCTTAAAGGATGACCCCTACAACCTAAAACAGTAATAATAAAGGAAGCTGCTGAAAGATTCAGGCAGTAGTGTAGGCAGGGGGAGCGGCTGCTCCATTTAAGAATATTGGCGCCTTTTTCGGAGAATAATTAAATATAATTTAAAACAAGTTCCGCAGCAAAAATTTAAAAAAAAACAAAAAAAAAAACAGCAAGTACGTTACTGACATGTTGTCACCCCCCCCCCCCCCCCTTCACCCTTGTCGGGGTTTGTCTAATTTGCTCTTAAAAGACGATTTAACACTCTAAATAATCACTTAATTAAGTGGAATTAGGCCTATTCTTTTTCTGTATATATTTTGCTAGTTTTTGCCTTGGTGTCACACCCCTAAACGGTGTCACCCGGTGCGGTCCTACCCCCCCCCCCCCCACCATCGCTACGCCCCTGCCTATCACCCCCCCCCCCCCCCCCCCGAACAAAATTGAACGTATAAAGAAAATATATACTTTTACCAGTGTCCGCCTCCCCCCACCCCCTGAAAAAAGTCTGGAAGAAACACTGGTCCTAAAAACCTGTATATACTCCTCAGGGTTGAGGCTAGTTTGAATACGATTATTACTTATTTAACGTACAACACGTGTCTCAACGGTACAATTCCCAAACTGTTACTAGTGAAAGGATCGTTTCCCTTTCTAAATAATAGTAGACCAAGTTAGTAATTTGATGTTAGTGTCCTTCCATCCCCCCCCCCCCCCACCATATTCCAACCGACAGATGTTAGCAAGCCTACACGGTGCCTTCATGTTAACGAGAGTATGAATCAAGCAGGGGCCAGAGTCATAGCGACCCTCCTCGGCGCCCGGGGACAAACTTTCAATTTGGCGCCCCCCTCGAGAGCAAATTTCTAATTTGCACCCCCCCCCCAAACTTACGATTTGCACCCCCCTCAAACTTTTGATTTGCACCCCCCCCCCTGAAACTTTCGACTTGCACCACCCTCCCCCAAACTTACGATTTGCACCCCCCCCCCCCCAAACTATTTATAATGCAAAAATGACATCTTAATTTGTTTTTACAACCCATTTTGGCACCCCCTAAGGTCGGCGCCCGGGGACATATGTACCCCCCTGCCCCCCCCCCCCCCCCCCCATCGCTACGCCTCTGGCAGGGGCGAAGACAGACAGGAGAGGGGGCAGGGGGGGTGCGCCTGCTCTCGACAATGGCTGAGTCTATTTTCAGAAAGTAACGCCTTTTTCGAAGATTTATTATACTTAAAAATTAATACAAGCCAATTAAGAGAAGAACATTACGAACGTATTTATCAATAGGCAAAGTTATGTTAGCCTTTCGTCACTCCTTGGACTTAAGCCGCTGACAAGAGCTTTAATAAAATCCCTGTCCCGAGCTAGTCTCTCCAAGGTGTATCCAATCTTCTTGGTGTCTTTTTCCTGGTCAGTCTCCCTTGATCGGCCTCTTTTCCTTTGCCCTGCAGGATATTAAAATACTAATTAATAGCTAGAGCTATATCCACCGTAGGAATATAACAAGCTCATGAAATCAGCATCGGAAATCACATACTCACAGTTGTGAAGTAATTTACTTACTTGGGCTCTACTATCGCCAGAGACCTCTCACTAGGGGCGGAACTACAGTGCCACCAGATCCCGCAAATTTTATTAAATAATGATTTCAGTGGATTTACCAGTAGCATAATTATCTCCCCTTTAAAAAAAATTCTAGCGGCGCCTCTGTTGGTCATGTGATAAGTGGTGTGAAATTTGACTTTAAACCTAGGGGCCAAGATCTAGACTAGATCTAGATCTAGACTAGATCTAAATTCTATAGTTTGCGTTCATTATCACGGCAAGTTTTGAGCTAGGTTAGGCTAGTAGAAGGTAGATTAAGTAGAATAATAGTTCTAGTAACGACAGGGTTAAATTATTTTTACGGTCCATAACAAAAAAAAAATGCCGAATTCCAGGTTTTGTCTAATTCTAAAATCAAGCCAAAAATGGTTAGGCCTACAACTACAAATGGCTACATTATTGAGTTTCAAATACAACACTAGTTCTACTAATCTAGATCTAAATAGTTAGTAAATAGATATAAGCAAATTCTTGTAAATTAATCTGAATATAAAACAACCTGTATTTTGCAGTCATGAAATATTAAATATGATCAGTGGCGTAGCCAGGATCGTCTCATGGGGGGGGGGTTCCAATTTTTTCCAGCATTATATATATATATATATATATATATATATATATATATATATATATATATATATATATATATATATAGACGCAATAACAGTACTAGAACACAGCAAACAGATAAAAGTACTTATAACATTACTTACCTATAATCGTAGTTCAAGTCTTCTTGGACTCTTGGCTAATTCATCAAGAACCTCATCCGCTAAAATTTCAATTTGTCGGTGAATATTTAATAATGCCAATCCATTTAGTCTATCCTCGCAAGTAGTATTTCGCAAGTACGTTTTTAGCCGTCTGAGAGTGGAAAAAGAGCGTTCGCTAACGGCAGTTGTTACAGGCAATGTTACAAATATTTGCAGTAGTTTGTGTACTGTTGGAAATATTTTTACGTCACACATTAAAAAAGCTTGATGAGCGTTTTGCGGTACATTTCCACTTGTAATAATGTGGCGCCACCACAGTTTCAGTTCTCCAATGCTTTCATCGATGACACTGCTGTTAATCAAACGTTCATATTTTTGCATAAGTATTATTGCATTCTTTTCCTGTTCTTTGGTAAAACCCGAGTCATTGGGTAAAAGACACATAAAACCTCTCAAAACAGATTTATGTTTTAGCAATCTGTCTCCTATTTGACATATAACCGAGTCAAGGAAAGGAATAAATACAGCTATTCTGTAATACTCTTCAGGCGTATTTGCCATAACATTGCAGCGTTGAATTTGTTTTCCAGCTCGACGTGGAATAAGTATATCTATGTCGAAGTCCTCACAAATGTCTTTGACTTCATTAAATACGGTAGTAAATTCTGATTCAGCATCCTTCCGCATATTCACTAGTAGGCTACTTGAATCTTCTGTAAATTTTAGAGCCGCAGATAGATCAAAGTTTTCTGTTTGGAGTATTCTGCTGACAGGAAGTGTTATTGCAAAGATTTTTGAGATAACTCTAAGAGAAACTTGAAACTCAAGACTCCTAATTGCTCCTAAAAGTTGAACCGCTGTTGAAGAAGTTGTTGTATCGTGCCAGGATGACATAATTTCCAGTGCATCAACAGTTGCTTTTTGAAGCTGTATAAAAACGTTGACAGACTCATGACGCTCAATCCATCTGGTTGCGCACAATCGTTTAAGTCGAGATGCTGATGCTTTAGGTGTTAATTTCTCTATTGAATTTGCAAGCAAAGATTGTCGTTTTGGTGTGTAAAAAAAGTTGTATGTACTATTAAGGATTCCCATACAGTTTCTCACAGCTGGTAGTTCGCAGGCATCAGAAAGTGCTAGGTTTAGACTGTGAGATGCGCAATGCACGTAAATAACCAAATCAAATTTCTCAGCAACATATTGTTGCGCCCCATGAAGTCGACCACTCATTGCAGCGGCTCCATCATATCCTTGACCTATCATAAAATTACCGTCTATGTGTAAATTTGCTAGAGTGTCCATTAAAACATTTGCAAGTCCTTTGCCTGTTAGATCAGTTACACCTACAAACTGTAGGAAATCCTCCCTTATTTTCTTTATGTCGTTATCATAGTAGCGAACACACAACGAAAATTATTGCTCCATACCAGCTATATCACTAGTTTCATCGGCTAAGACAGAAAAAAATTTAACAGAAGTAATTTTCGCAACAATCTTTTGAACAATTAATTTATTGCACACATTTATCACTTCATTCTGAATGGTGGGTCTTAAGTATCTTGCATTTTTTGAAGAATTTTCTAGATGATGTTTAAGTGTTTCGTCTCCACCCATGGCTTTGTATCTCAAACAAGCTCGAAAATTTCCATCATTTTCGTCAGGATCCTCCAACTGAAAATTTCCGAAATCCCTGTGCCCCCTAAGTGCAAGACCTTGTCGGCCGCAAAAAATTATAGTTTCTATTATGGTCGCTAACCTTAAACGATTTTCTAGAATTTGTTGACTTAATGATGAGTTCAAGGCGATGTTAATAGGTTCTATTTTTTTCTCCATAACCGATTTACGATTTTGGGAAAGTAAAATTGCTCTTTTATGATATTCACATTGCTGGTGCTCATTAAACTTGTCTGTTGCCTTTTTCCAGTTTGAAAATGGAATTTTTGATAACTTACCTAATGGCTGACTACCTACACCACCATAATTCAAACTAAACAAAACACAATATTTGCAAAATGCGCCATCAAGTAATTTGGAATAAGTCAACCAGTTCCACCTAAGTAGCCACGAATATTGAAACTTTAAATTTCTTTGTCCGCTTGCTGGAAATTTAAAAAGTTCTTCAGGACGCCAGATGTTTTCTAATAAATACAACCGTGTATCATCTGTAATAACTCCTTTGATAAAATTGCCGATATCATTTGCATAAGAAACAGTCAAAGGTGCTGAATTTATGGAAATTTCTTGATGTAATGTAGTTTGAGAGTCAATAGTACCATCTTCATTTTTATCATTTTCAGTTTTATTTTTCTTTGTACAGAAATCAGTTAATAAAGTAGTTTTAAATTTCCTTTTTCCATCCGACATCATTAAAATGAATTTAAATTGCTTTAATTATCAAAAAGATACACATTAAAACACGACTATGCGAATAAGAAAATAAATAATTATTGGTCTTTCTTTTCTGACTGTCTAAAAATGACTACTGTAGGTTCCTGGCTCTACATCTATATTTAACCACCTACGCAGTTTTTATATCTACCAACACTAAGTTTTGTGTCAACAATTGTGGGTCCAGCCCACGCTTTCCTGCCAGATGTGCATCCGGTAGTAATTGAGACGTACCCATATTCAAACCCCCCCTCACCCCCCCCCCCCCCCCGTCACACCCTTTAACTGATAACCTTGTGTCCTCTGCCATCTATCATTTTCAGTTTACTTATCTTTTTAAAAATTAAATAGTTTTCAGTTTCCCTGTTTCATCCGCCATTAGTGAAATGAATTTCAAATGTTTTGAAGTAGTAAAAACATACACATTATAGAACCTCAATGCGAATAATAATCAATTCCTTCGTTGTTGTTTTTTTTTAAATTTCTAGACGCTCTCCGATTGCACTACAATCATATTAGACAACAAAGGCCTACCCACGTAGCCCACCCCTCCCCATTCGACACTCCTTAACTGATCTAACCTTGGCCAACTTTCCCTTGGCCTACTGCGTTCCAGATTATTATACTTAACTTTAGCACGATAATAAAATTCATAACTAAATTCTACAGGCAATTCTCATCACAATGATATACATTGTTGTTCTAGAGGCTGCCAGGTTAAGTGTTTAGTGTTTAAGCCCTAAATAATATCGACACAAGTCAATAGCTGTAGCTTAACGTAAAAAGGTAGTCATATTGGGGGTACATGGGGGGGGGGTTATAACCCCCCCCCTAACCCCCCCCCCCCTGCCTACGCCACTGAATATGATTATGATGTACCCACTTTCTGCGTGGCAACATGTTTGTCTAGATCTGGAGTCTCCAAACTACGGCCCGCGGGCCAGGTGCGGCCCGCTAGGTCCTCTCATCCGGCCCGCGGAGATCTTTATGTCCATGGTAAAATGTTTGTTAGAGGTGGCTGAGGAACTTTATCCAGAAAATTCAAAACAATTTAGGTGCAAATAAAAAGTTGTGGGACAGTTCTGAGCAGAGTATTTAAGTTAAGATAGGAAATAGGTGACTTCCTGGAAAGTAAAGGCAAGCTACAGCCATTAATATCTGATGAAGATTGGGTATAGAAATAATTATTGGCCTCTGCTGCAGACATAACTAGTCAGTTAAATTTTCTGAACCTAAAACTACAAGAGAGGGAAATCTAGCTTATGATCTATACACCTAAAGGCTTTCAGATCCAAACTTTTTTTGGAACAAGTACAGGCCAACAACTTGACGCAGTCTCAGCAGTGCAAGGTCTTTACGGCTGAAGCAAGCACTGAGTTCCCCACGTCATTTGCATGCGAGATAATCAAAGACCTCCAGCTGCAGTTTCAGCAGCGGTTTTCTGACTTGGATTTAAAGGCAGAAGAAGTAATACTGTTTCAAAGCTCATGTGAAGCAAATGTGGCCAGTTGTCCAGATGAATTGCAGCTGTATGCAAAATACACACAGAAGTGCGGGTGGGTTTTTATAAGTTTTTGCTCATGGAAGACTTTCCTAAAATTAAAACTTTTACATCAAAGTACCTTTCAAAATTATCAGCAACATACTTGTGTGAACAAACATTTTCAAGGATGAAATACGTGAAGGATAATTTGAGAGCATACTTGGACCTCGATTGTGTTGTTGCCCTCCGACAGTGTTTCTATTAGATTTTTTCCATGGTAGGGGGGGGCACTTGAAATCTGTATATATTTCTATATAAATTATATTTCGTTGGGCGGGAAGGGGGGGTAGACGTCCTTCGGGGGAGGGGGGGGGGCGTCCACCCCGAAGATATACCTTGAACAGACTCTGGCCCCCGAACTGATACTCGATAGTTAATGCGGCCCTCCGGCTGAAAAGTTTGGAGACCCCTGACTCTAGATCAAGAATGAAATGTGTACTATTAGATCGTAATTTTAGATTCGAATCTAGTAAACCAGTAGATCTAGATCTAGTAACATAAGATATTGATGGCACAGAATGTTATGTTGAAACGTGTTTAGAATCATGTTTAAACTCAACACTTAAAAATTAGAAAATATTTCTAGATCTAACTGCTTAAAAGATTCCTGAAAAGATAATCATAATAAACCGGGAGTGATCTCCCCTAAACTTTCTCGAATATTTTTATATAAAATAACAGGGGATGGGAACTCGGGCTATAGACATGATTTTTAATCCATTTTAAATACTTAAAGTTTTAAAAATAGAATAAAATCTCGTAGACAAATTAATTGCACACCAAGTGAACGCGAAATAAAAAAGCGCATAATAGTGCGCAATATTATTAGTACTTTTAAAATTTACATTAGTTTTTTGAGAAATCGGAAGTAGCGTAAATTACTACTTCCGGTCAACGGAAATTACTCAAAATTTAACAGAAGGTAGAGAATTAGATCTTTTACTTACATGTGAAATTTCATTTATCTATCTGAAATAGTACTCAAGTTATAGGCTTTTGAAAAATTCAAAGTAGAAAAAGTACCACTTCCGGTTATCGGAAATCGCTCAAAAGTTGATACGGATCTACGATTTTGATAAAATACTTATATATGAAATTTCATCAACCTAGCAGTAACGGTACTCAAGTTATCGTGTTTACACACGGACACACAGACAGACACACACACACACACACAGACATACGGACAAGATTGCAAAATTATGTTTTTCCGTATCAGTGAGGTGTAAAACGTCGAGATTTGTAAAAATCTCGATTTTTTTTTTTTGCACGATTACAATACTTTCTCTATACTACGTATATACGAGAAAGTAAAAAAGCTAGTTTCGTCAAGTTTTTTTACCGCGCTTCGCATCGAGTAGTTTCAATTACATTAAGGGGCTACAACACCGTACTCAGCTTGATTTTTTATTTTATTTTTATTTTTTTTTTCGATTTTTTTTTATTTTTTATTTCTATACATTAACATCTTATTTACCTAATGCCATTATCGTTTTAACTGTAAATTGACATTTTCATACATATTTGTGCATTTGAAGAAGGTGTGTGTGCCTGGAAAAATATAAATTTACGGAAAAATGGCCTCCATAAACATGCCTGTCGATTCTTAACTAAGCGACCTAGCATAGCAAGCCGTATATCAGAATGACCGGCTTGCAATTCCTCATTTAAATAACCTAAATACATTGACCTAGTTTTAAATACTAAAATAGAAATCGCGAGGTGAATGCATGATGGAAATAAGAAAAGCTGTATTCCCATTGGTTACCAGGCGAAGCCATGTTGTAAGTTACTAAAATTAGCTCATGTCAAGGCGACATATGACCGAAATGTAAGCCGTTGCCGAGATACGGGCTATTATTTTGCTCAGCGCATGACTTCCTTTACTCGACATCTGCGAACCTGTGTGCTTCTTTTTTATCAAATAAGTGCATATTTTTTGTTTGTTGGCTTCTTTTTACGGTAAGATTTGATTTAATTACTATTTTACTGAAATTATTTTCTAAAATATAGTTATTAATTGTATTTTCATCAATAAACTTGGACTATTATTCCTTATCGATAATGAGTCGTTCTAGATCTAGATCTCGAATCTAGATCTATTCTAGATCTAGAACTAGATTTAGATCTAGATTGGAGATTCTAAATCTAAAACCTAGATCAAGATCTAGAAGTAGAATTTAGATTCTAGTCCAGATCTATATAGGTAAATATGAGTCTATAAATACAAACAATAGTTTATAATAGAATAATAGATAGATCTAGAAATAACAATATGCCTTATTATTTTTAAATATTTTTACAGTCAATGCCTGCAGTCTCAAAGCTAGTGCTGCCAAGCTTGCTAGGGTTGATGCACATCACTTGGGACTGCACAGATGCACTAGATGCACCTACAGTACCTGCATCTCAGTGCACATGCATCGGTTGCAGCTACACTACTTCCACCAACCATCGCAAAGAAAATTTAGTGCTTCTGCAGTCTAATCGCCGTAATGCACTGAGTGGATAGATTGGAAGTCTTACGCAGGTATTAGGATTTGTCAAACTTGTTTGAATTCTTGAAATCACTCTGATAGCTAGAATGTATAGATCAGTATATTGTCTCAATCTCATTTCAGCAGCTGAAAAAATCTCCAGACCTACTTCAAGAAGGCAGTTTCAAGTAAGACTGGCAGTACAGGGAACTGAGGTGGAAAGTTGGAGCTCCTTCTAATCATGTCCCTTTGACAGATGAAAGGACACACACCAGGATTGACAGACAGGGAAAACCTCCTGGTGCTTCTGGCAAATGTGTCATGGTACATAATTCAACACCGCTATCTCACAAAGGTTCATCATTCATCTTAGAACATGTTGCCAAAGCTGTCCAAAATGTTTATTAGCAACTGACGACAAATGCCATATTGAGCAGTTACATGATAGATTCAACCCAAATGAAAGTCTTTCTGCATGCATCTAGGCATATGGCCCCAATCATGGGATTACATGACAGTTAGTAATACTGAAAGATGGCTGTTATTTCACCCATAGCCCAACAGAAACTAGTTCAGGCTGAAGGCAGATCATCATATTTTTCTTCAGCTTTCTAAATAGAGAATGATTAGGCCTACTGTAACTATTTTGTTTTTGTAATGTTAGTAATATGCAAATGTTTTCAGAGTTGTATACTGTACCTCTATGTAGCTATTTTGTAAGCTAATTCAATTTTTTTGTAAATTTTACTTGACCTGTTTTGAAGTTTTTTGTTCAGGGGTACATTTATAAAACCTGATTTACAAGAATAATTACTCCTTAATTTCAGAAACCAAATGATAATAGTAACTTCTGTACATACTAAAACTATTTAATAAGCTTTTACTAGGATATTATTTGATTTAAAAGCTTTTATTAATTTTTAAAATATTTTTGATAACTCTTATTTACAATTTATTTTTAGGGGGTGCACCTCATTAAACCTAATTACCAAGACTAATTATTGCTTGATTTGATTGAAACTTTGATTATAGTATCTTGTATACATTGCTTAAACTATATGATAAGCTTTTGATAAGATATAAAGAGTGTTTAACAGTTTTTTTTCATTTTCAAACACGTTTTCCCCTTTTTCTCACAATTTTGTTTTTTTACCAGTTTTAAAACTTCAAAATTTATGATCTCAAATACTGTCTATTAGATTTCAATGAAATTTGTACAGTAGAAACACAACATAATTACTGTTAGAGTAATAGAGACTTTTTTAGGTTATCTTGAGTAGTTTTGTTTTTAGAGAATTTCAAAGTTGATTTCATGGTTAATATTTTAATCTAAAAACAAAAAATTTGTAACTTCAACATTTTGTCATATATTCAAAAAGTCTCTCTATTCTCCTGTTAGGAATCCTCTCCTTTATTTAAATTAGAAGTTTTAAGTCAATACATTAAATGGTTATTGAGTTAAACAGATTGAAGCATGATATGTCTAAATCATTTATTTCTGTATTTTTTAATCGGCTAACGCTGAAGACACATTCACATTGGTCTAAAAGTATATAAAATATCTTTATAACTGCAATACATGTGTTTGTTTTCTTAAAAAAAATTTTTTTGTAAATTTTTGTATGTACGGTGTAGTGCCCCCTTAATCATTGAAAAGAGGAATGGATTATATTTAATATATTTGACTAGGGGCGTTGGTTGTTAAAATATATAGATCTGGATTCTAGTTCTAGTCTAGTTATATTATATATCTAGTAGATCTAGAATTGAGACTAGTTTTTCATTATATAAGTCTCGTGTTTAGGCCAGCTTTAGACGTAGACAGAGTTTCTTCCAGGCATCTCTTTGTAACACCCCCCCCCCGAACGAAATGAAATTTATATATTTTATATAGAAAATATATACTTTTAACAGTGTCCGCCCTCCCGAAGAAAGTCTACCGCCCCCCCCCCCCCCCCGCGAAAATTTCAAGTGCCCCCCCCCCCCCCCCCCCGGAGAAAAAAGTCTGGAAGAAACATTGGACGTAGATCGGCCACTAGATTCTATATTTATATTTTCGCGAGGTCACAAAAGTTGCTTTAGTTCATAAACCGGTTTTATTACTTCGTATGTAGCAGGCAGTCTATAGTCTATAGGCTCCGTAACACTAGGTAATTAGGTTGTGCACTAAAAGTTAACAGAGCGGCAACAAGTCTTGCAATGGCGTGCGGTAGTATAAAAGCGGTCTGCAGGCCATGTTTATTCAGTACTTGGGGTGATGACAGAGTAATAATTACTTGAACAAAATGGCCCTCTCATCGGCAGATCGAAAGAGAATGCGAGTAGTTGTGTTTCTTGGTTCTACAAGAGAAGGACGGATGTGCACTAGGGTGGCAAAGTTTGTTACAGAGCAGTTTGAGAAAAGGAACTACGCTGTGGAATTATTTGGTGTGTAAAATTATATTTATAATTTTAATTTAACTGTTATACAATAGCTAGGTTTTTTTTTCTTTTACATGAAGGACATAGATCTAGGTCTAGGTCGTAACCAAGCGAAATAAAAACTAGACTACGACACTTGTACCAAAAGTTGATTGCAAACTCTAGATTCTAGATTTAGTTGGGGTTATAATACAAATTAAGATTGCTTCTCAATTAGTTCAATGTTTATCTACCCATTTATATTATGGTGTAGGCTACAAACCAGTAGCGTCGCTAGGTCGAGTGTCACCCCATATATATATATATATATATATATATATATATATATATATATATATATATATATATATATATATATATATATAAATATATATATAAATATATATATATATATATATAAATATATATATATATATATATATATATATATATATATATATATATATATATATATATATATATATATATACAGGGGCGGAACTACAGTGCCGCCAGACCCCGCAATGCGGGGGGGCCCAGACCGATTGGGGGGCCCAAAAATCCTGGCTAAATTATTAAAAAAAAAAAATTAAATTTAAATAAAAAAAATTAGGTGGATGTCGAGTTATCTTTCTTCTACAGTTACAAACAAACACGGTAGTCGGCAAACGTCTATGAGAAAAATGCACAGACTATTGCTCGAGAGACCGCCAGACATATAGACAACTTCAAAGACGCAGCCTACCGTTCTTTTTTAGTGGTGTCGATTAGGAGAACAAAAAAGCTTTGAAAATCGGGCTGGGGAAATGTTGCGGCGACTATCCTGGTCTTCTAGACGACCGGAAAAAGTCGGCACTATTGATGTAGATGTTCATCGGCGTTTTCTTGTCCCCTTCCCTTGAACCTTCCCAACTCTCTACCCTCCCCCCATCCCCCTAACCTCTACCCCTCACCACACCCTTACTCTTACAATAAGATGTAATGCATAGATTAACGAACCGTTTATGAACTACTGAACTGTAAACTGACCACTTCTGCACATTTTGTTAAAGACACTAGTCGTTAGTTGTTCATTTACCTGATGAAGTATTTCGTTGACGAATCTAATTCACACAACAAGAAGGTAAGACTCGTCTTTATATTATTAATCGTTTTATAATTAGTAAACGTGTTAATGGAAAATTAGTTATTAACACTAAATACATTAAAGTTAAATATTTTTAGGATACAATGATCTAGCTTTTAAGCCTAAAAACAACCAAAAGATCTATACAGGGGCGGAACTACAGTGCCCCCAGACCCCGCAATGCGGGTGGGGGGGGGGGCAGGCCGTTTAGGGGCCCACTGCTGACCATAATTAGTATTTTTTTAAATTTTGAATTTAATTTTCGTGCATTTTTGCCTTGATATTTAGTTTGTAAAAGAAAAACACTGTAGCTGCGGTACGATTATCTTTATTTTACAGTCACTATACCACGCTCTTCAGCAAAAAAAAATAAAATCCATTACACAAAATACAGTGTAAAATATAGGCAACGCTTCAAATTTGAATGACACATTTGACTCGTTGCCCCCCTTTGATAGCTAAATAGAGGACACGTAGCTGTTTGACCGATCCTCCAAAGTGTACTGTGGCGGATGGGGCAGGGGATGGGGATCAAATTTTTTTTTATTTATAGTTGTATTTTTTAACCATCGTCAAGGCCGAGTTCTATTTCCCCACGCTGTCGCCGGCAAAATTCTTTTTAAAAAAACAACAAAGACCATAGCACGAGAAGCCGCTACACATGAAGTGGCTTTCATGATGCGCGGTTCTTCGTTTCGGCATTAGTTTGGGACCCGCCGAAATCCATTTAACATTTTTCAATGTTAATATGTGTTAGTGATAGTGGTTGAATTTGTATTCTGTACTATCTTGTATCCTACAAATAATAAAAAAGAATATAATACTAGAAACTTTGTTTTTATATACGTTTACTGGTTTTTTTTTTACTTTTACAAGAAATATCATAGTAAACTTTTAAGGCCTATACTTGGAATTATCTCCCCTGAGTAAGTTTTACAATGGGCGATGCTGACGTACTTAGATCAAGGCGTTTTGTCGTCTCTTTCAAGTTTTTTTCCCGAGCCGACCCTTATCCCATCCCTCTTTCTCAACCTCACAAGTATCGAGGAGATAAATGTATCGTTTATGAACTACTTCCTAACCGTACGATTCACCACTTCAGCACATTTTGTCAGACACTAGACAGCACTAGTCAACAGATATTGATTTATTTGCATACTATTAGTATTAGGCACATCTAATTCACAAAACAGGGAAGGTAAGATTATTTTTTATATAATTATTTAGAAATTAATTAGAACGTTTAGAATTAATCGAACATTATTATATAATTAATAGTCAATTACTATTTATCAATGACGTTATTGAGGTGGGGGGGGGGTGTGTGTGAGGGTCTGGCTTTTTGTTAGTCGTTAAAATATGTGACGTCATTTGTGGATTCCCCCCCCCCCCCTAAATCAGAAAGTTATCCGACGCGTGAGCTGGCCACATACAGTTGTACATGTGAAAAACACGTTTCTGTCTATTTTGCATTACAGCATCATTTACCCAATCGCCATGAAAACTTTGGAAGCTGTTGAGGACAGCCACCAGTGTTTCTTCCAGACTTTTTTCTCCGGGGGGGGGGGGGGGCACTTGAAATCTTCGGGGGGGGGCGGTAAACTTTCTTCGGGGGGGGGGGCGGACACTGTTAAAAGTATATATTTTCTATATAAATTATATAAATTTCATTTCGTTCGGAGGGGCGGTAAAAAAATTTCGGGGGGGGGGGGGGCGTCGCCCCCCCCCCTCTCCCCGAAGAGATGCCTGGAAGAAACTCTGACAGCCACGCAAAGGTTTCTGTCATAGGCTAACATTTGTTTACATATTGGAGTGGGGACGCCCAACGGAAATATGTGATTTAGCGCCCCTAGATCTTGCATAAGCGGATGAGGTTACTACTTGAAATCACCGGCGACAGTGTCATCCTGAGCGCATCACATATGAGCAGGTTGGCTCCCACATCCAGTCGTTTAAAAGTTCCGACAACACTAGGAATAAGTCTCGCTACTACACTCGCTGATTAAATCTAATCAAGTGTTGCACCAATGTTTCTTCCAGACTGCCGGAAGAAACAATATGTCGCGCCCATCCCCTGTGCAGTAATGTAACCAGTGTTTCTTCCAGACTTTTTTCTCCGGGGGGGCACTTGAAATTTTCGGATGGGGGGGGGGGGGCGGTAGACTTTCTTCGGGGGGGGGGCGGACGCTGTTAAAAGTATATATTTTCTATATAAAGTATAGACATTTCATTTCGTTCGGGGGGGAGGGGGTGGTAAAAAAATTTTCGGGGGGGCTTCGCCCCCCCAAGAGATGCCTGAAAGAAACTCTGAATGTAACCGGTAGCTCCCAAAAGCCCCGTGACTCCCCTGACACCTGGGCCGTCGCCGAGGGACTTACAGCATGCCTTGGCGTGTCTAGTTGGTAGAAATGAACTGCCGAAATTGTTAATATTTAATTCAACTTCTGGTAAACAGGGCACACGTCTAAAAAATACACGGTTGTTAACGTTTTGATAAAAGCCTCTTAATAAATCATCGTCAGTTTAGTGTGTCGGGCTAGATTTAGAGAGTCGGTGTTTCTCACTTCGAAAACTTTATATATATATATATATATATATATATATATATATATATATATATATATATATATATATATATATATATATATATATATATATATATATATATATATATATATATATATATATATATATATATATATATATATATATAGGGGCCCCCAAAAAAAATTCTGCGGGGGGGCCTTTTTTTTCTAGTTCCGCCACTGTATATATATATATATATATATATATATATATGTTTATATATACACTAGCCTTTGGTACCCGTTACACGAGAATTATCGGTCTATTTTTTTTATATATATGGTATACATTTTTTAGAAGAGTGTTTTATAAAATAGTTATTGGTCAAAACGCAATGTTTAATGATATTATTGACAAAGCAAAGATATAACTAAACGAGCCCACCCGCGGCGTATCATACGCCGCTATTTAGTTGTTTTTTAAACTTTTCAGTAATTCATAATTTGTGAATTCGACAGTACCAATGCTGCCACTGAAAATATTTGCTTTAAAACACTAAAACCCTCTTTTCCCCCAACCCCTGCCCCACCCCCTCGTGAAAGCAGCCTCCTCTTAGTTACCTCCCCTTAGTTTAAAATCGTTTCAAACTAAAGTATCTGCCCTTAATAGCCGTCACTAAACCCGGCTCTACGGTTTGTAAACATTTAGCGTGAACCACAGCTCACCAGACCATGTGAGAGGGGGGGGGGGGGGGCGGTAGCAATAGAGAGGAAGAGAGGGGACTGCAAGGCGCGCTTGCAGCTTGTTTTCTAACGTCTCCCAGAAGAGAATTATATATATAGATAGCTAAAAGTCGGACATATTTAAAATAACATAGACTACTAATACCTATTAGAAAAAATAAAACCAAATCATATACATAATTAGTCAACACAACACCATATTAAATGCACACATTGATTAAAAGACTGAAATGACTCAGTTAAAAACCCGGCTTTTCAATTGTAGTTATGTTGTTTTTTAAAGTAATTTGTATTAGTTTTGGCCGAGGAAATTGTATAAATTTCATAAATTACGTCTCGATAAGTAAATCTATAGATCTAAATCAAATTTTAATGAAATAGTTCATTTCTTCGTATTCTAAAATTGGAAGATGACGCCATTGGTTTTGTGTACTTTCCGTACTTCAAACATGTGACGTCATCGATTCCGGCGTTCTTGTCCCAACTATAAACACTTTACCTGTTGCATAATTAAAACTGTTTTTCTACATTCGAATATGCCTTTATTTTTTATTTTTCTTCTTTAAATAAAATATTGTTTATACATTTAAAACATCTACCATATTATTTTCTACTAAAGTCCGTATCAAGTT